CAGCTGATGAGCTATCATTTAGACTCGGTGAGGAGACAGGCACTCCCCCACATTAATAGGAGCATGAACAGGTACAGCATCAGTTTGCAGAATACCGTACATGCTTTAGGGGAGAAGGAGTGGGATCCAGGAGAACGCAGGGCGGAGGGATGTTTATATGTTTGTTTGTTGTTGTTTGTTTATTTTCATAAATCCTTTCTCCAAGCTTAGGCTGCATGCCAATCAAAAGACGAGGATTAGAACTCTTGGATACTCTGGGAAATTAAGATGTGCTAGTTTGTCCTAGCTCCTAAAATTTGTAAAGAATGGCAGAAAAATTCCAGTGTGATTTATATATTCCTTATGCTTGCTCCAGATGTTTTTAATGTATCTTTCATCATTTTCCCTCCTGTTAGGAGAATGCTGTAGCTCCACATTTATAGTTCCTTTCAAAACTCTAGCACTGGGCAGAGATTGTGCTAATTATTTTTGCATGGTGTGTTGAGAGACACGGGCAGCAGAGCTACAAAAGGAGCCCATTTGCTCCCTTTTGGAAGCCAGGGGCATTTGGAAATCTGCTGTCTCCTTCCCTCATCCTGGAAAGAGCAGAAACTCAGTCAGGCTCAACAGCTTTAAGTGGGACTGATATTTGTCAGATACACCTTAATGCGGTGTCTGCTATGTTTCTTTAAACCCAATACTTTAAAGTGAATGCAGTGAGAAGGTGCTAGCACTTGAGCTTTTCCCATGGGCTTTGATTTAACGATCTTCAAGATTCTTTCCAGCTCTGCGATGTGTTTATTTTGAGAGCTTTATGACTTCCGATGCGATATGGAGGCATCACTGGGGGATTGAGCGCCACTTATAAATTTGTGTTGAACATGATAGGCCAAAGAATATGGGCAATCTTATCAATAAGTAATGTGCGAGCAAATGGTGGGACTTGGCCTGAGGTTTATTAGAATGAATCAAAAGTCTTAAAAATATGCCTACTCTTAAACACAGCAACATTACCTTGGAACTGTAGCCTGGGGAAATAGTTAAGTAAGTGTTCAAAAAAAACCTTCCCACTAAAATGTTCACATGATGTTTTTAAAAATATTTTTCAGAAACCAGAAAATACTTAAATGCTCCATAGTGGAGGTGAGTGCAGTAAATTGCAGCACAACTATACACTAGAATACTGTGTGGTCATCAAAAACTAGGCAGTAAATGTGTATTATTAACGTGAAAGAGCAGATTTTAAAGGCTGTGTTATGCTGAGTACAGTGGTGCACACCTGTAATCCCAGCTACTTGGGAGGTTCAGGCAGGAGGATGTCAGGTTCGAGCCCAGCCTGGGCAATTTAGCCAGATTCTGTCTCAAAATAAAAAGGGTGCAGGGGCCAAGGATTTAGCTCAGTGGTTTCGCCGCCTGCTACGCAAGTGCAAGGGCCTGAGTTCGACCCCTAGTACCAAAAAAAATAAATAAATAAAATTTAAAAATAAATAAAAAGGCTGCAGAAGAGCTCAGTGCACCCTGGGTTCAATCTCTGGTACTGAAAAAAATAAATGAATAAACAAACAAATAAAAGCAGTCTTATGATACGATCTCATGCTTTTAGCAGACATACCCACATATATATGGAAAAGATATTTTTAACAGAATTACACCAAAACATTAATTGTTCTACATTACTACTGCTGGGGACAGGGCAAGTGATTGTCATCTCTTTATATTCCTTTTCTAAATTTCTAAAATGAGGAAAAATCTGTACTGCAAAAGTAGTTTATAAGAACTAAGTATGCATTAATTCATGTATTCATTTCTGTGTTCCCTAATTATTTATCAAATTCCCATTAATGACCAGGCTTGTAGCTGCTAATGTAACATTTGTAAAAACTCTATAAAATTGGTATTAACTACTTGATTATTTTCTTTGTAACATATAAGAGAAAAAAAGCTCAGTCCAATGATAAAAATCAACCCCAAAAAGTTGAAAAGCTTATTTAAAGTCACATAATGAATTCAAAACAGTAGCCAGAATTTGTAACCTCAGATTCTCAAAGCTGGACCCAAAAACATAGAGCTGTTCTCTTATTAGTCTTAATTTCTGTTCATTGCCCATTGGGACTGAAAGGGCTCTTGGTGTGGCAGTTTGAAGAAAACATTGGCCATGACACCCAGCAGCTGCTTCCATCAAGAAGTGTGGTCTATTTCCCCACCTGCCATGGGGCTGGTCTAGGACTTGATGGTGCCAATTCTGAGCCTCAGCCCCAAAAGACTTTGCAAGTTCTCCTTACTTGGACCCTTGGTGACCACATGAATCAGCCTGGACCAGCCCGCTGGAGAACAAGCAAGCTTGTGAACAAAGGTTCCAGTCACCTCGCCAGATCATCACACACAGCCATAACAAAATATCCAGTCCCAACCACCCAGCCAGCTACCCACAGACATATGCGTGAGCCCAGCTAAGGCCAATGGAGTCCAAGCTACCCCAGAAAAGCCACCCAGGGGGGGTCTAACTCCAAATGTCAGCCCACAGGATGATGAGCAAAATTAATGTTTGCTGTTTTAAGCCACAAAGTGTTAGGGTGGTTCATCATGCAGCAAAAACTAACTGATACATAGATCTGGGCTCAGCTAACCTTCCTTATCCAAATGAGGACACCAGGGAGGTAAATGAAGGACCCTACTCAGAGTTACATAGAAAATCAATATAACTGGGAGAAAAAACAAGTTCTCCTGCCCTCCCATCCAGTGTTCCAGTCACTGAATGCTTCAGAAAGAAAAGGTTCACACAGGTCACTCTCACAGGTAAAACAGAAGCCTTGGCGAAACAGAGAGTGGGCTTCCAGTCACTGGGAGGGAGCGCCATGTTTTCCTGCTGGCTCAATAGTTTGACTGCACAAGACAGGCAAAAAACATCACATTCTCTTCTACTTTGGTCCAGTCCCAGCCAGTGCCAGGTTTTCCCAGCCTTCCCAGAGACCCTAGGAGCCTCCACCTCTCTCTCTCTCTCTTTCTCTCTCTCTCTCTCCCTCCCTCCCCCTTCCCCTCCCCCCTCCCCATAGTCCCACAACCCACACCCACCTCATTCCCTGACTTCTTCCACTTCCTAAGTGCCTGACAGAAAAGCTAATCAAAAATCACAACCTAAACTCAGCCTCAAAATTGCCCTAACAAGGAATCATCATATGCTGCTCTTCAGAGTGCTTGGGCCCAAACATTAGCCAATTAATCCTCACAGCCACCCTGTGTGTTAATTAGGCCTCATTATTCATGAGTTACACACCAGGGAAACAAAGCCAGAAGGAGCAGCCATAGCTCAGGGCAGGTGGCTGGCGGTGGCAGGGGGTGAGCTCTGGCCTCCCAGCAACCCAGAAGCCACAGCTCCCCCCGTGCCCGCCCGGAAGCCAGAGCCAAGGGGTGGCTCAAGCCTTTCCTTTTCCATTCGCCACCAGGTGTGTCTCATCTCAGCCTAACTAGCAGCTACTATTTATTCTCTGGGATTTTCTAAAAATGTGCTTTTTTAGACCTTCATTCCCAGCACTGTTCTTTATTAAATCGAGCCACAGAAATGTATTGAAAATCATGAGCATTTTGAAACATAGTGCGTCCTTTATGACTGAAATCATCTAATAGACAAGCTGTTGTTAATTTACAACCTTAATTTTCAGACACACTTCTTGAGTCAAAAGTACTTCCTGCCCTTAATTCCTGTAGGGATACAGGTGGCCCAGGCCTAAGTACACATCTACTGTACATTAAAATGTATTTCTTACTTAAACATTTCTGAAATCTCAAGTTTATGTCTAGACTATTTTAATCAGCTAAATGTCATAATAAGCCATATGTTGGTCTTGATCGGTTACATACACCAGCCCTACTCATAAAGTACCAAAAGGTGTTTTTAAAAAGAAGTCTGTATTTGTTTTTTCAAGAAAATGGTACTTTCAGCCCGTCATATCAGACCCGTTGGCAAGGAGAACGGGCGCATACGTAACTGGTGGGAAATGGGTTTTCTCCCTCTGTCCCCTTTACGTACCACCTCATCAATACCAATTTCAGACTTGGAATTTTGAAGCAATAAACTTACATTGGTTTCAAATGTCACTTGGTCAGGCAAGGAGGAGAGCGTGGAGCAGGTACTTCAGTTGCTGGCCTTCTCATGTGCACACGGATTCTGTGTTTAGGTCGTTCCCGCGTGAGTTGGCCTGCACTGCTCAACCCCAGAAAGACCCACCAAGTCACCTAAACCTAAGGATGGCCAAGGTAACAGCCCTGCTTGCTAAACCAGTATCCAAATACTAGTGGAGCACCTGTCGTAGCTGAAATGTGTTACACCTGCAGCCATGCCGATGAACAAGAGTCCCGGCCCCTGTCTCCCAGAGCGTGCCGCTTCCTAGGGGGTGCGGACACGTTTCACAATCCGTGGTAGAAATATATTCTTCCAAGGCCTTCGAAGAGAACGTGGTGGATACTCTAGAAGCTCATACCAGAGACCCAAAGCGGCCTGGAGGGACAGGGACGTTTCCCCAAGGCAGTGGTTTAGGCTTTGACCTTAGGAATGAGAGCAATAGGTGGGTCCGATAGGAAGTGGGCGCCAATCTGGGGAAACAGTGATTGGAAAGATGAGAAGGGAGGAGGAAGGGACGGAGGGGCAGGAGGAGCAGAGGGGGACTGGGAAAAGACAAAAAGGGGGAGGAGGAGGAGGAGGACAGGCAAGGCGTGGAGAGCAGATAGGAGGAAGGAGATGAGGAAAGACGAGCGGAGAAAAGAGAAGAGAGCGGGAGCGGGAAGAGAAAGGGAGGGGCAGGAAGCCGGGGAGGGGAGGGAAAGGATTCAGATCTGTTAACTTCATCCTTGTACACATCTAGGAACCATCAAAAACTGACTAAAGTAACTCTGCTTCCAATTCTACATAAGCATAATTGAAAGAGCACTTACTAATCAAATTATAAAATACAAGCTTTCTTACCAATCTAAAGGGCTCTTAACCCAAACTATAAAGAGAAAAAAACCACAATGATACTTGAAGGGAAATAAGTAAATTGGGTTTTAATGTTGGCACTTGATAAAACTTTATAAACTGTAGCTTATGAATAAGAATTCTTGCACGAAGCCAGGCTGGTGGCACAGGCCTGTAATCCCAGCACTTGTGAGGCTGAGGCAGGAGGATTGCCACGAGTTTGTGGCCAGACTGAGCTACAGAGCAAGATCCTGTCTCCAAACAAAAGAATTCTTGCATGTAGGCTTTTGTTTTTTGGAGACAGGAAAGGCCATAGAGCTTGTTCATGCTGGCCAGAAACACAGCGAGAGTTGGGTTCCCATGGTGCTGTAGAACCACATAATTGTTCTTGCTTGGCCCCAATGAGCAGGAAATACATTTGGATGATGGCATTTTTAAATGGTGATGTTTTCACCGGGAAAGCTCTGGCATCCCCAGTTGCAATGCACAATTCTTGAGCAGAGGCATGTAGTGGTCCCACGTGTGTCTCTCTCATTTCTGCAAAACACATGACACTGCTTTGGTCACCCACCACTCAACAAGGGTCCACCCTCTGCTTTACCCTCTCTGGCCACTGAAGAGTGGGGTGCAGCAGTCCCTCGGCTCCTTCTGGGTCTTCTCCTTCAAGGCAGAGGATGCAATTGAACTCTTCCACCTCCTTGAATGAGGGTTGGCCATTTGACCTGCTCTAATCAATGCAGTGCCAACAGAAGTGACAGAAGTGAACCACTTCCGGGTGAACACTTCAGTGTTGCTGCCAGGTTTCTCTCTCTGCCTTTCCCTACAGGAGTATATATATTATATATTATATACAGGAAGGAGTTCTGTCATTCGGAGACCCCGAGTGATTACAGAGCATCCTGCCGCCTACCTTGCTCATGCAGCTTAAGAAATTAAAGATCTTCCATTAAACTCTTGAGATTAAGGGGTTGTTTGCAATTATACTATAATGCACCCCAGCCTACCCTCCTAAGAATTGATGTAGATCCCCTTGTCTTTTTCACTATACTCCCTTCTCTTGGATTACCCTGGCACTCAAAATTATCGGTCTACCTCCTGGGCAAATGCACCTGGCAATCAAGAAAGTACCAAGTGTATATTTGTTGAAACTCAAAAATTGCTGCTTCCAAAATAGCAGAATCCTTAGAAAATAGTGAAGCAGCAGTAACTGGCAACTTTTCTGCTTTGGACCTAACCACGCAGAGAGGGGGAGGAGGAATCAGTATCACATCACCTCCATTCTAACGCTGAAGAGAAGCGGGACTTGGAGCTCACACTCTGTCTGTGTGGACTCAATCCCTGGTCCTGGCTCTGCCATGTATCATCTGAAACCTTGGCCACATGACTCATGCTCTTCCTGCCTCCGTTTCCTCATCTGTGAAATGGGAGTTCTTCACGGTACCTTGAAAGAGTTAAACGAGATGGAGAAGGTAAACCGGGTGTCCTTAGCAAGTGCTCAGTAGTTCCATGTGTCACACGGTAATGTTCAAAGTCCCACGTGACTCTCACAATACTTCTCATTCTGGCCACCATGGCCATTCTTGTAGACTATTTCACAGCTCATCTTCCCTTTCCAAAGCCAGCCTCAGAGGCTCTTTCAACTTCTACCCTGCTATAACCATGAACTTCCCCACCACACTCTGAGCTTCTAAGGAAGATGGTCTGCTCAAACATCCACACCCTAGACCAGGAGTAGTTGGCTCTCCCATGAGGATGAAGTGCACTGGAGCCTCAGTGGGACCAAGATGGACTGGCAGAGGTGGGCACAAGCAGTGGGCAGGCACTTCGGGGGGCTCCTTGCTCTGTTCAGTGTGATCCTGAAAGAGTTACAGACAGAAAGCAATGTGATGCCCCTTCTGATGAGCTGAGCTGAAATAACAATCCTAATTGCTTGTCGGTGTCAGGTACTAAATTTGTAATTGTTCTGGATGCACACCATGTTCCGGTTGCTCTTTTGGGGGCTACACAGGCAATGAGGGCTTCTACAAGGCCTTCTCTCTCCAGGTGCCCCTCTGGGTGTTTTCCTTTCGTCCTAACACCCCATACGTTTTCTAAAGACCTCTCATTGCCTACCAAAGGGGATACATTCTGAGAAATGTGTTATTGGGGAATTTCGTCAGTGTGCAAACACCGCAGATTGTACTTACACATGCTAAGACAGCTATGACATCACTGAGCCATACACCACTGAGGGACCACCATTGTATATGGGGCCTGTCATTGACTCAACTGCCGTTATATGGCATATGTCTCTACCTCTATCCCATGGTCTGCTTGGGCTGCTATAACAAAATGTCGTAGACTAGATGCTTAGAAAGTGGACATTTATTTTCTCTTAGTTCTGGAGACTAGAAATCCAAGATCAAGGTGCTAACCGATATGGTTCTCCTTGGTTTTCTCCTTCCTGCGTGCTTACAGGATGGAGAGAGATCTCCTGAGGACTCCGCCCTCAAGACCTAACCTAACTGGAAGTACCTCTCAAAGGCCTTGTCTACAAGTACCGTCACCTTGGAATACAACTGCTTCCACATGCTGAGAGAATGCAAACATTTATTCTATAATACTATGTAAGGAGAAAAATATCTAAATTGTGGCTAATTCTAACATTCAAGATTTGGGAGATCAGTATGGTTCTAAGCAATCTTTTTGCCCATTTTTATTTTTATTAGTACATGTTTGTAGTACCAAATAATTACATTCATTATGAGGAGCTGGTACATGTGCATAACACATCTTGATTCTTTTTATGTCCAATTCCCTCTCCTCCAGGCCTTCTTCCTCCATCTCCTGGATCTAAGCAATCTATTTTAATGTTACTCCTTTAAGAAGAACTCACCAAGCATCAATTATGTAAGACACTGTGTTAACAGCCAAAGGGAAATTTTAAGAATGAGATGTAATATCCACCGTTGAAACACTTCACCCTCCCATCTAAAAATCAGAGAAAACTACAGAAGAAAAACTAAAGATATAAAAATATTTTTAATTAAACAGAAGCCTGGCTACAAAGCTACTTCAGGGTGTTCAGAAGCAGAACAGCTCAAGGGAGAACCCAGGTTTTGGAATCAGATAAGAACAAGATGACATCCAGGCCAAAATTCATTAACCATTCAAAACCTGTTTTTCTACCTGTAAAATGGGGCTAATGACAGGATCTACCTGGTTGGGTTGTTATGATAACAGCAGAGCACTTAGCACAGCCGACTGGCCCGGAGCAGACCATTAATTAACCATTAATTACAAGCAAGTGTGGGCAGCAGAAGCCTCTCCAGATGCGACCTGGGGAGGGGTGGGAGGGACTCCCAGAGGACGCAGGACTTTATCTCAGTGCTGAACTCTAAGGTCCGTTCAGCAGCAGGAGGACTCAAGGAGCTGTGAAGGGCTCCCAGAGCAGGCTGGGAAGCACAGGACTCATGGAACTGTAAAAGGTGCGCCTGGCCAGAAAGGACCGTGTGGTTACCGAGGCCTGAAGGGGGAGAGCAGAAAACCAGGTTGGGTCTGGGCCCTGGGTGTCCTTCAAAGCCAGACCAGCGTTGGGGTTTGTCCTACATTCTGCCTTCCTCAGTAGAACAGAGCACCTTGTCCTTGGAGCTTATGAAAAATGTTTTAATTCCAAGTACATTTTCCTACTAAATCCAGATACAATCGGGAAAAAACATCTGGTTTTTCCCTTCACATTGTTTAAGAGCAAATCCCAGTTTGATTTTATATTCAGAAGCTTGTTCTGCGTTAATGTAAAAAAAAATACACAATAGGACTCGAGTGGTAGATAAAATGATTTCAAAGGAATTTTAATTTTAAAAATAACTAATGAAGCTCCTTGTTAACCCCTCAGGCACCAAAGATAAGTGAATTCTTGGACTTCTCTTCCTTTATGATAAAAGCTCTTCTAAAAGAATAAATAATAACATAATAGTAATTTAATCTAATTGATGTGGTCATTCCAAGTTAGCCAAGCTTGTGAATTATTCAACACATTTCATGTTATCTTAATACTTTGTAGAACAATAGGAATCATAGATTAACAAAGAGTTTCCCAGGTAGGCATCTTAATGAACAGATAATCATTGGCAATTGTGGCTTAATGAGTTCAATGTAAATGAATTTTGCTAAAATGGCTTAAAGAATGAATGGAAAAGCTGTTTGCTTTTTAAATATAATCATTTATCCAATTAGTATTAGGCACAAAACTGAATGAGATAGATACCCTATCCTTTGGTAGCTCTCAGTCTAAATTAAGCAAATGGTAACAACAGTCTCAAAATACTATAAAGTAAGAGTCTTAGGGCCGAGGATTTAGCTCAGTGGTACCACTGCCTACCTCGCGAGCACAAGGTCCTCAGTTTGATCCCTGGTACCAAAAAAAGAAAAAAACAGTCTTATCAGAGCATTTAACAGACAGTCCCATTGGTTCTTTACATTGTTGATTTAATAATCCCCATTTTAAGAACAGCAGAAGGCAATACTACTTAATATAACATGCATTGCAGTCCCACCAATTCTGAATTAATGGATTTTGAGGACATAAGATCTTCATGCATGAAACAGATTGCACTCACCTTCTCCTGAAATCTTAGCAACAGAAACAACATCTTTTGCTCTACTTTTCTTTCTTTGTCCTTTTTGTTTGCTAGAACCTTGACCCTAAAAGTGTTGAAGGAAACTTTACATGTCACTAGGGTGCACAGTTCTTGGTGATAAGGATTGCAGGGTTAGTGTTTTTCATTCCTTAGAACCTGGAAGAAATCAATCCAAGTGAGAGAGAAAGGAAACACATGAGTGAAGTGTGATTACTTTAGGGAAAAGGACTTTGTCCAGAGAATAACCGTTAGTTGAGGGAATTCTATCTAATAACAGAACAATCAACCACAACAAATTTCAGTTCGAGTTCACTACCATGTTCTGAGGCTTCCTCTCAGCACTGTATTTGTGTGAGCATAGCTTTATTGCATAGAAGAACGTGTCCATCGTACAAGTGAAGACAAGAGGCACACAGAGCACAGTGACTTGGGAGCTTGGGTTGTCCCCTAGAGGACTTCACTTGGCACATGGTCCGGATGGGCGTCAGGAAACCTGCCCATAATTTGTATGGCCAATACAATATCCCCTTTCCCAAAAACTTCAGATCACATTTTATGTATTTCAATCTCAACTTAGATATCAAAGTGTACTGAATTAAATAGTCACCATACTAAATGGACTCTAAATCTGGTAATAAGGTTGTGAAATTGAGTTTTCCACATCCCAACACAATTTCCTCCACATTTTCTCTTTTAAAACAAATGAAAAGGCAAAGACACTTAGAGAAACCAATTCCACCGAAGGTCCCAGAATGGCCCATCAGACATAGCCACAGAACTGAGGAAGAATGAGCATGAAATCGAGGGATTCAGAGGCAGCCACTGGTGAGCTCATTAACACACCCTAGTCCTTCCAGAGGACTTGGTCCAAGTTCTAGTTCTTCCATAAGATCTCTCTAAGACCTGTGATGCTTTCTTCTCCACCGAGGGAACAGACCCTCCATGAAATCTCAACAGAGTGGAAAAAGGTGGACCAACTTCATGACCCCATATTTTATAGGTGAGAAAACTGAGTTCAGAAATATTCAGTGACTTTCCCAACATGATACGGTGGAACTGTGACAGGGACATTCTGGAACCAAAGACTCTTTACTCTTTTTTTTTTTAATTAAATTTTATTTTATTGGTACATTTTAGGTGTACAATATAATGACATTCATCACTGGAAATTTGCACCTTTACATAACCTCTCTTGGTTCTTATTTTTCCCCCTTCCCCTGCCCTTCCTTCAACCCCTCCATCCCTCCCTATTTACAAAG